CGAATGCATTATCGTATAAGAGAATTGATATATCATTAAAATAAAAACGCAGTGGGAAAAAGTTTACATAAGTCAGATGCTAAACTTATCTCTCAACAAGAAAACTTCCTACACTGCGGTGCAGAACTATAGCACCACCTATATTTTTAGTAGATTCTGACTTTGGAATAACAACACAAAAATCATCCATATGAAATTGAAGGGTATAGTGAACGATGAACTTCAGTAAAAATTTGTTGATATTATTTTACTATATAAGAAAATATAACATGAAAATTGATTTTTCATCGTTGCATAACTATAACACCATGTGAATAAATGTCAAATATATACACATAAATATGATTTTAATAACTTGTAAGGCCTCCTTGTTTTGTTATAAGCTGAAAAATTCTATCAGGCATGCTCTCGATTACATGCTTTTAGTACTACGTTTTTTGGTTCTAAAATATTTTCGTACTGTCGATTTTCGACATAAGCTTTTCGGACAATAATGGCTCAAACATTTTCCATCGGGTTTTTGTCTGGTGTACATGCTGGCCATTTAATAATATTAGTTTTCTTCTTTCCAACCATGATACTGTCTTCCGACTGGTGTGTACAGCAGGGTTGTCCTGTTGGAAAGTTCAGTTAATTGCACTATGTGCGTTTATAAAAGGTAACAAATTGTCTGATACAATTATAGTGTGCTCCTCACTACCCATCTTTTTCGACGGAAAAGCCAATTACAACATGCCATCATTGCAAGGGCACCCCAATTTCACTTCGTCCGCCAAAATTTCTTTTTAAAAAGTATTGTGGTTCTTTTCGCAGATCTCATCAATATGAATTATAACCGTCCGGACTATCAAGATTAACCTTTTTCTCATCCGAAAATATAACCTTATTGTCAGTGATAGAAGTTTAAGTAAATTGGTGTAAAAAGATTTTGACATCTAAGGTTAATTTACGCTTTTCCAGTCGCGATGCATGTTCGTTCGAGCGTATTCAAGCCTCGCAACGTTATGCCGTGGTAGAAGTTTTGGTGCAGATTTTAATTTCTGTTTCTCCATGTTGGGATTACACTTAAAAATTCGACGTACTGTCCATCGTGAAATATTTAAGTTGAGTTCCTTTTTAATTTGGTTACAGCTGTTTTGGATGTTACTGGCTGCTTTTACAATTGCTCGTTCGGTAAGGGGACTCAATTTTTTCTTTGGACCATCCTTTTCATTATTGCCATAATTAACGGAATTATTTAAGAAAATCAAAATGACTTCATGTAAGTTCCCAATCCTACGGGCAATTTCCCGAACACTAATTTTATCCTCCTTAAACGCCAAAATTTTACCCTTCTCCTCTTTGGTCAAATATCTACTACGTGGCATTGTTTAACAAATTTGAGTATTGTCAAATTTTAATTTGTATTTTAATAAGAATGTAATTATTTAGCTTCAGTGAGTTTGTAGTTGAACTGGATGGAGAGAAGTTAATTTAATGACATTGGTGCTATAGTTTCGCAACAAGCCAAAATCACATTTTGGATTATATCGTTTCTAATACAGGAGCAACTTCAATGAGACTTAATATAAAATTTATTGCGACCCATACCATTTCGTCTCCTGCAATTGATTTTTTGCATTTTAACTTTAAATTACAGAACAACTAAAAAAGTAGATGGTGCTATAGTTATGCACCGCAGTGTATAATGAAATGATTTCACATCGACAAATTTGTTTGGAGTAACTACATGTTATCTTTGCCTATAAAGAACATTATACATACAATTCCCTTATGTGAAGTCGGAAATTCTATCAGTTGTATATTAAATTGTATGAAGCCTTTCCAACCTCCTTCAAATGATTTGTTATTTCATGTTAATCACCAACTCCGTCAATTAAAAAGGATTTATTAAACTTATTAAACTAACAAATTATTATAATCATAATATCAAATTATTGATATTATTACGATAATTTTTATATTATTGTTGATATTGATTATTATATAAAATTATAATAACTTATATCAAATTCATATCACATATTTATCACTAATTTATACATAGCTGACACATAGCATAAAATTTTATACAGATCTTACACGAAATAGCTCGCAACCTAACCTAACCTAACCTAACCGAAACCTTCGTAAATGAACATTTTATACAAAGATAGATTTTCTCAGTAATATCAAAAATAAATAAAGAAAGAAGGAAAATTTTCATACACTAACATGTTCAGAATATATTATTTCATGTTCTTTTTTCAATCTTCTCATAAAACACTCATCATGAAACATTTGGATGTTGCATAAAGGATATACCATTATTTTTCATATATGGATCGTTTATTTTAAAAGTGGTGTAAATCCATTTCCTTATATTTTGAAAAAATTAAAGGTTAACATATATGTCAATGAACAAATATAGGTTAATTATACCAAGACTGGCAATTCAGCAATTTTTTTACTGATTCATCAATATGTAATTTGATTATACAAATTTTTTTTAGGTGATTTAACTAAAATAATGTATATTCAAGCAAATGCACTTATAGCACTTTCAAAATAAACGGTTCATATCGTGAACTAAAAAGGAACTTCGTTAAAAAGTTGTATATATATTTCTACCAGACAAGCATTAAATATAACCTAATTTTTATAGAGACAAAATTTTTTAATACATTTCAAACTTGATTTTTCTTATGTCAAAAAAAATGTCACATATCTTTGCTTCTGGGTGCCTCATTTCATCACAATATTAAATGTGTATAATATATGAATATAACTATAAGTTCTACTATAACTAATATAACTAACAGACTACAATACGAGGTGTGACCCAAAAGAAACGAGACTCGGTGTGTATCTTGAAAAAACAATGGAATTGGCAGCAATTGTTTTTGTGGCATCATCCCACATACCTCCTCTATCCATTTTGCAAATTTCGATTGAATCGATCATACCATTTGGAAGTATTGCGTTATTTAGTGAACACGTGCAACTGCATTCTGCCGGAAAAATGTCTAACGTAAAAACCGAACAGCGAATAAACATCAAGTTTCTTGTAAAATTTGTTGAAATCTGTTGTAACATGTGATGAGACATGGATTTTTACCTATGACACACAAAGTAAGCGCCAGTCGATGCAGTGAAAATCTTCAGGATCTCCACAACCCAAAAAAGCACGCATGTCAAAATCAAAATTCGACATTAATGGAATTGTAATGGTTGAGTGGTTTCCCAGTGATCAGACTGTTAACCAACACTATTACATTGAAGTACTAAAAATATTTAGTGAAAAAATTAGGAAAAAAAGGCCACAGTTGTGGAGCGATGGATGGCTGCTGCACCAGGACGATGCACCCGCTCACACGGCACTGTCTGTCAAGCAGTTTTTGACCAGCAAAAATATCACTGTGATGGGGCATCCTCCTTATTCACCTGATTTGGATCCATGCGACTTTTTTTTATTTCCTAAAGTTAAATTTTGCTTAATGGGAACCCATTTCACCTCAGTTAAAGAGGTTTAGGCAGAAACGGAGAATCTCCCGAAAGGACTTCCAAAAACTTCGTTCCAGATATGTTACCAACAATGGCAGCGCCGAATGCATAAATGTATGAATGCTGAAGGGGACTACTTTGAAGGTGATAATGTCACGGAGAACTGATTCTACAGGTACAATGATTTATTGGACCAGTTTCGTTACTTTTGGGCCACACCAGGTATAACTAACAGACTATAAGTTAGTCTCGTAACTTTTAAAACACCTTGTACAATCGAATACAAGTCAACCGGACACAGAGTATATGGCCTCGTGTAGTACATGGTTCAAGGTCGGCCAGTACAAGTTGAAGAGTATACCTATAAGACGTGTGCGTAGGTGCATTCGCCCTTTGAAACTCGCTGCTATAATCATAGTTATTTGAGATGTAAGAAACATCTTTGAACTTCACTCGATCACGTGTACTACGTGTAATTTTCCCCTTTTTCCCTCTTTTTAATCGTTTCAAACGTTTAGCACGTAGTTTACCTTTCAGCGCGTACTTAAATCAATTCCAACTGCTAATTTTTAATCATTTTGTTATGACTATTAGTAAAAATTGTTCTAAAATATTTTCTAAGTTTAAATATTGTACTGAAATTATGGTTCTGTTCAAAATTCAAGAAACTCAAGTAGTAAACTTTTGAAAACATTTGAAATTCCATTGCTTCTATTAATAGTTAGATCGCAGATTTTTTAGTTATTTTTAATTAGGTGTATTGGTGTAATAACGTTTAATCAGTATGTTGTTAAATGACGATTGTTATTTAATTCAACTATTATTTGTTTATGAAAGTACTTCACTAAAGATTATGAAATCTGTTTATGAAAGTAATTCATTAAAATACTTGCGTTTAGAAGATTGTATTCGTTTAAAAATTTTTAATACAAAATTGTGCTATTCGTTATTGAGTAAAATTTCAATGATGGATTAATATCCTGTTTTTGAATTAAACTTTTCAAGATAACCTATTTATATTTTTCCAAGACAAAAATAGAATAGTTTTGAACCTTGACTTATTTATTTAACTTAAACATTTAAACCGTAACTCTTCTTCAGGAGTTTGAACTAAAACACTGACGAATATCAATTTGTAAGCGTTCAATGATTCTTCTTCAATATACTTATTGTTCGTCACTATATTTTTATTTGCTTCGATACTATTTACAAATTCAAAAATTGTTCATTTTTCCTAAATACAGTAAACGAAGTTCTCAATTTTAGTCACAGTTCCCATTAGTACAAAGAAACAGGAAATTACAAGGATCATAGTATCCAGTGAAATATCAGTGATCAACGATTAACATCTTCGTTACAAAATGCAACCGGTTGTCAAACACAAAACCAAAGCAAAATCTTTATCACTCATGTTTTTTATCAGAACACCAAAACCCGAATGTCCAGCGCCCTAACGTCCCGTAAAGAATAAATTCCCGAGATAAATAGATAAAAGAAAGATCCACGGATTTACTCACTCATAATTGTCGGCGGTTCGTTCACAACCGGTCCATAATCCTGCCACGAAATTTGCTATCAGATACGAAAGCAACACGTAGAAGAACGATCAACTCAGGAACACAGGAACGTTATCAAATGAACGGATACCACCTGTTGTTCGCGGCGGAAATGAAAAGTCGAACGACGAACCGAAGCTACTGAAAAATCACGATGAAGAAAAGAAAATGAAGGAGGAATTCGCGAGCGAGTCGAGATGGAACGTAATCCACGGGCAGCGACTCCTTCGTAACTGGGAACCGTTAAGTTCGTCTCGATGGCATCACGGTCTTCGAGTAGACTGCAAGAATTCGCTTAGCGTTCGACCCCCTCTAGAAACGTTGGCTCGCACCGGTGCGGGCCAAGGTAGGGCAGGTGGAGCACAGTTTCGAAAAGAGTAATTCGTTCGATCATTCCTTCGACCGTGAACTACCGAATCGGTGTTCCGATTTTTGGGCGATTCTACACTGTGACCGCCTTCACTGGCCTGTAGTCGTTTACGAACTATACAGGGTGTTCCATGATATCCGAGACCCACTTCAGCAAGAAAACAATTTACATATGTACCCGATTTGACCTTGTTGGCACGGTACACTCAGTTTGTCTGTGTCACTTTTGTGGGCCATACGTCAGCGAATTCTCTTAAATCCTGTGGGATTTTTTACTTCTGATGGACGATTTTATGACTTGTATTTAAATTTTGTTAATCCTCTAATCATTTTTTCGACATAGTTATTTTAATCTAATTATTACTGCAATGTTAAGTTGAAATGTTAGACATATTTTGTACTTAGCGATTCTTGATTGTCCAGATTGTAGCCGAAATTAAATGTGAAATTCAGCCATTCTTAAAATAAAAATCCGGTTATCACATTTGAATTTTGGTGTACGTCACGAATGCGTCATGGTATTAAAAAGCGACGGATTAAATGTAGAATGTACGCATATAAATTTTTATTTCCATACCTTCATATTCTTTAATTTCTATTTTCTCAATGTGTATGTCAACATTTATATTCTGTAATTTATTGAGGAAAATAAACAATGCATTTACTTGTAAAATAGTAATAATTTATACAGTAACTCACATATAGACAATCTTATTAATTGTATATATTTGTACAGTTCTCATTATTTTAATATATTTATACATTTCCTATTAATGTAACATGTTTATACGATTTTTATAAATGTAACATATTTATACAGGTCTTTTTAATGTAACGATTAATGTAGCTTATTAAATGTTAACAAGATTGTTACAGTATTTACTACTTGAAAATATTCAAGTCTACATTGTAAAAAATATAACAAAACTCAGAAGTAGTCAGTTGAGAAAATGTAGATAGTTCTCTTCCTAGTATGGAAGATACAGAAAATTGTAAACTATGGAACATTTTATTTTTATTATGAAAAATTAATACTTATTTAAATGAAAAAGGCAAGTAAACAATTAGTTCCACTTTTTAATAATTTATTTTTCTTTGTACTCTGTACGAACACATTGTCCACATATGAATACATTTACTCCATTTGACTCCATTATTATCACTGTAATATACTAAGCATGTTAAAACTATGACCGATAATACTATGTAACTTTATCAAGGAACATGTACCCAGTGTAGACCATGTTTCACATTACGTACACTCATGCTCCATGTATGCACACATATGTAAAATCCGTATTTCGATCGAAAATTAACTATTCGAAGAAAGTAAATTCACTGATGAATTTCTTGTGAGTAGATATAAAGCCTTGAAAAACGATGTGTCACCAGACAAGTCAGACAGGGTTTCATTGACCTGGTGATTGTTTTTGTTCAGCTTAAAATAGAGCCCTGATTAAAGCGTGACATTTTTTGGCAATTGGTTTTTCGGTGATTATTTCTCGATTCCCATCGCAGTGTACAGTGATGAACTCGATCATAATGGCAAGTTTAAGATCATTTGAACCGTTCAAGAGGAATTAGCGCACAACGAGATGCAGTTGTGACAAAGAAAACTTCGCTCCAATAAATTTATTGCTAAAGTAATGCTTTTCGAGATTATAACAAGACTTTATGGTTGCAAATTTTCAGAGTCAGTCCAGGATTTCCGGATTCCGTGAGGACTTGCATACTGCATCAAAAGTTGCAGGTAAATCTTCGTTGTCATTTTATTCAATAACCTCTTACTGTTCTATCTTACTCGTTCTTTTAGATGATGAACTGTTGCATCGAAAAGAAGAAGGCTAGAGAAGAATCGGCGCACAAGTCTCAAAGTGTGGACACCGACGAGTTTGAAACAGGTACATCACAATTTTATTATTAATTTGTATCTATGTATATGTACAACTAATCAAAGGAAACATAGGCTATTGAATTTACTTGCTAAAAATTGGAAAAATTAATAATTTTTATTGTTCTTGTCTTCTCTGACTGCAACAGAGTCGGAAGAAGAAGAGTTTTTCGAGTGCACCAGCGAGGAACCAACAAACGAGGACGATTCGATGACAAGGACACAGCTGAAAGCGAAACATCTATTGTGGAACAAACCAGCAGGAAGATTAGCCAAACATCCTTCGTTCAAGTAAAAATTGCAAATCCATCTATATCTTCCTTTTTTTACAGTAACTTTTTTATCTTAGGTTCAATTTAAATATCACTAGTTACATATCAATATTTAATGCATAAACATATGTGTAAATGTACACATAGACATGTACATGTATACAAACATACATACATATACAATACATATGTATATATACACATACATACATGTACAATACATGTGTATATTCACACATACATACATAGAGATACATATATGAACATACACGCATGCATACATACAGACACACACATATACATACATATCTAATTTAACGCAACAAATTGTTTATTGTTGGTTATCAAAATATCAATATTATTTAGGTTGATTCAAACTGGGGATCCACTTTACTTGCCGATAACACAGGATCCTGTACCAAAGACTGAAGATCAACTCGAGGAAGATGCACAAGTGATGATGCAGCTTGGGACTGATAAACACGCTTCAGAGATGCGGGCTAGATTAATGAGCGCCTCTTTATTATCTGATATGGAATCATTCAAGGTGCTAATAATAAATTAACGAAGATGATCGACATCCATTGAAATAATTAATGGGTCTGGTTCACCCAAAATGCAGATCAGACTTTTCATAAAAAATTGATAGAATAAGTAATGAATCGGCGATTGGTAAAATTTTATCTTAAACTTTGATAACTACACATCATATAAAAGTTTGAATCCTTATTATATTTTGAAGAGGAAATTATTAATTGAAATAACTATTGGTTTTCACAATGTTAGCAAAAGTATTAATTAGTTGGACTACTCCATTATTCAAAATTTTATTTTGGTGAAAATAATATATGTTATCTTTTATAAATAGGTCTTGAAAGGTAACTAATTCTTATAATGTATTTATAGGCAGCAAATCCCGGAGCAGTTTTGGAAGATTTTATTCGATGGTATTCGCCGAGGGATTGGATTGAAGATGATGGAACAGATGAATGGGGTCAACCTACAGGTTTCTTATAATCTTACATACCTTTTAAACATTATTAATAATGAAACTTTAAATAATGCATTTACTTTAACTAATTCATTTAAGACTAAATTATTGTTATTTAATTCAGGACATTTATCAGCAAGAATGCTCATTCCAAATAATCCATGGTCTACAACTTGGAGTTCAGCTCAACCAGTTCCTGCCCACCGACAAAAAAGGTTGTTCGATGACACGAGAGAAGCAGAAAAGGCTCTACATTTTCTAAGTTCTAAGCGCATAGGACAAATTGCACAGCTTCTCTTACCGGCTTTAAATCACGCTGCACTTTATACTTTAAGTCAACAGAAGCAAGATGCTTTACCAAATTTGCCCGAAGTTGCGCTCAGTATACTAAACAAACTGCAGTATGCAACAAAGCCTATTCATCAAAAACTACATTTGTATGAGGTACCTACAGTTGTTTACTTATGAATCAGCAATGAACACTGTACATAAAAAGGCGAACTCATTATAGGAAATTACTCGCGATATCGAAGGAATTGAAGCTCTAGTTGCCCAAGTAAATTCCTTGCAACACAAATTAGGAGGAAATGATGATTCGAAAGAATTCACTTCCTTTCTCATCCAATTAATGCGAGGGAAAGAAGTAGAAGTACCGGGTGGTTCCAGAGGAAATATTGGTAGTCGAATAACGACGATGTTCAGAGACGCTCAAAAAGTACAAAATTTTACTAATTTTTTAATTGAAATGCGCTTGAGTATGTATTTGTTCAATACATAATACATTACTTATGTTTTAGGCGGCACTCATCATGACGTCTCTTAACAGTAACGCTGATATAGATGCAATTGGAGATAATAAACTGAAAACATTCCCCGAACCTTCGTGTAAAGAATTTATTTTGCGTATTATAACACCACGACCTTCGCCAACCTCTACACCTCAACCACAAAGGATGTATGCGTGTCTTAAACGAGATTATATTCGCTTGGCTGGATTCTTTTCGGAGGATTCGATATTTTTATAGTCTATATTTTTACTGTGTTTTACTACAATATGAATTGATTTGATTTTTTACACGGTGCTGTTAGAATTCAGTATATGTCTTTCATTTTAGTTGCAATGAAATACAGTCTGTTGTATATAAGCGTAGATTTATTTAAAAATTTTAATAAATAAAAGAGAAAAAAAGATTTTTAACTTTAAGAAATATTATAATTTAATTTATAATAATCTTACGGATTTTATTGTTTATACGTACAGAAGGGGAGTTATTTACCTTATTTGAGTCGTTATGAAGATGTGTTTGTCTATATGAAACTGAAATAAACATATCCTGTGATTTTTATTGTGATTAAATTGATATGTCAGAATAATAATTAATATCTACGCTTATTTAAAATAAACTGTATCTTCTTGTACATTTTCACTGAATTTGTAAGAACGGAAGGAAGGAAGAAAAACAATGCTCAGTCTAAATAAAGTAGAAACGTTGCTAAGTCTTTCAAATAGAGGTATGAATGTGTTATTGTTTCGAGTACAAGTAGAAGTATCTAAAAGAAAAGTATTCCCAACATTTCGCAAGAATTTTAACGACTGATTATCAGAAAAAGTTTGCGCGGTCATACTGTTTGATAAATTGAAATCAAACTTCTTGAAATAATTCGAAAAGTATAACAACTCTGGTGTAATTACATGTATACAAGTCTGAATTATTTACATAATTCAATGATGGGCAACTATGCCTGAACAGCATGGAAAGGATATACTAATATTTAGTGTAGCTACACATATTTATTATAAAGAAAACAATAAGATCTATTTCAACCTAACACTTGTTACGAAGAAAGGTGCACTTATTTTGTATAGCCTTATAGCGTTCTTTCCCTAATGACGAAAATAAAATCAAAATAGGACTTAATTCAATACTTACAAATATAACCTAAGATGTTTATTCTAATATAATAACCTTGAAGTATATTAGAAAATTATAGAAATAAATGTTGATTACTTTGTAAAATAAAATTATACTTCAAAAAAAGTTAAAATTGATTAAATTTTTTATTATAGATCCGCGCAAACTTTTTCTGGCACTTAATAATTTCATCAAGCACTTATGGTCATATTGATACAAAATTAATTTAAATTAATTCTGTTAATATTTATTTGAAACTAAGATACACAATTTAACATTGTATATTAAAAACAAATGTTGAATATAATTATTCTTTATAAAAAATAAATTGTGTATAATATTTCTTACAATTAATTACATTATTCGCCATGGCGAACTTAATTTAATAGTAATATTCTTTTCTCAAGTTTTGGAGGTGAAAACAGGAAATCCCGCACAATATGATCCAATTCTTCCAAGGCTAGTTGTGCGTGTAAACGTAATACGGGATCTTCATCGTTGTCCCGTAGATATTTTAGTCCTCGATATAGATCAACCAAATCCTTACCGAGGCTTGTTAACGTATTCTTTCCAAGACCACGAAGTAACATATTGCTAACCATAACAGCAGCTCGTCTGCATTCAGGTGCTTTATCTGACTTTACAATGCAACTGATACAGTAGATTACCTAAGGAAGATTTGAAATTACACATCATTTTGTAACTTAACTAACATAAGAGGGAATTCACAATTTTCGATTGTTAGATTATTAGACGTTAAATATAAAATATAATACTATAATAATTTTCTTGTAAATGAAAACGGATGGATTTCGATTTCATAAAAAATGTTTACATACCTCGATAACAATATCTCCTAATCGAAAGCCTAGTACTTTACATAATTCACCCAAACATGAAAGGCTAGAACTACGTACTAAGGAATCCGGATCTCGTGCAGCACATAGGAACCCATTTATTAAAATATTTTTATACGCTGATGCCATTTCACCTATAGAATCATATAAATTAGTCAAAATAATTGCTGAAGAATAAGAAATAAAAAGAAAAAATTGTGTACCTAAAGCTCGCGTCATTTTTACAAGTACCTCTCCTAGTTTTACTCTAGTTTCCACTGTTAATTCTCCTGCTGAAATACGCTGTGGCATATTTATGTATTCATGTACTAACGTTTCTATAACCACTTGAGGATACGACATTGCTAACGCATGTAATCCATTGATAGCTGCCAAATATATAAATGAATCCTCATGTTTCAAATTTTCCTGTAAAATAATAAAATACACAATATGCAACATACAACCTTGATTATAAAATTGAAATTTTATTTCTCTTACTAACTTGAAACAACTGTAAAATAAATTCTTTTTTGGTAGTGGCACATGGATCCGCATTTTCTATCAGTTTTGTAAGAGTTATAAGTCCATGCGCACGGACGGGAAGTAGTGGATCCGCAAGATCTTTAAGCGCTTCTTCAAATTTGTTTAGTCGTTTGCAATCCACTGATAAATCTTGATAATGTTTTTGTTTTGATCGACCTTGAATCTCAATCAATTCAATTAGTTCTCGCGTTAACGACATCAACTGTTTCGGAACATGTGAAAGAGAACAACATTCTTTTAAAAATTTTACAAAATCGTTGAATACTGTCCAATCTAGCGACTTTTTTCTTTCGCTTATGATTATTTTTATTAGCATTAAGCTAATGTATAAAATTTCACAATCATCTTCTTCTGATATATCGTTTTTGTTCTTTATGTACTTGCTAAATAATGATTTTATGAAGGAAAATATTGTTTCTGGTTTTTCTAATTGTGTGTCTTGTACAGCAGGTACATTAGCTAAGCTTGATAAAAGTTTCACAGCAACTAATTGTTCTTCAACCCTTTCTATCATATCATCTGCAGTTTGTAATAAATTTTCAGTTTGTTTTTCACGATTTAATTGTATAGTATTTGATAAAAACTTCAACAAATAAGTAAATAATTCATTTGATAATACTTTAGTAGCAGATATTAAATCAAATAAAGTATCCGCAAATTCTTCGTACTTAGGAGTTTCATCTATCCCTGTAATTTCAATTCCACCAGTTGGTCCAAGCTTTGACGTTAAACGATTACCAAAATCTTTCATTTCACTGTGTCCAAGAAATGCAGCAAATACATTATGTCTTGATGATTCTTCATTGAGAAGATGCAGTATAAGTTGTTTAATCTTGCATTTCAATAAACAAGCACTTTGCCTCGCATTATTATACAAACAAAACAAAGGAACAGCTACTCTTGTTAGAAGTGTACAAGGTAAATGTTTAAATTTAGCTTCCACTGTTACAAAACATTTGGTTAAATTTTCAATGCATTTCTCCACTTCATTCTCACTCTTTGATACATTTCTTTCGTTTATAATCAGTGGTTCACATATAACTTCTACAACATTTTTAAGACAAATATCAGGATTACATTCATAAAGTGCAGTAATACAGCAATTTGCTATTGTTGCTGAATGTTTTATCTGACTAGATGTTAAAAGCTGTACCAACTAAAACAAACGTGCAATTTATTGTAAAGCTATACATATTAGAAAAAATAGTAAGTAAATAAAAACGTTTTGTGAAAAGTACCTGTGAACATATAGATTTGTAATATTCATCTATATCATTTCCATGAGGCATGGTCACTAATCTGGAAATAGTATCCAATTTATTCCAATGTTCACCAAGATCTAAAACATCTTCACAAACAGCAACTATGATTGAAATAATTCCATTAGGTTGCATGACTAGCTTTACTAAATATTTACGAGTTTGATTTTGTAACCATTTTGGTGTTCCTTTTACACCAAGGATTACCATCAATTCTTTCATGCTTGTGGACATTGGACAGTTATTTAATAATTGTTGAAGCAAATCAATGAAATGTTCTTGATCTTTTCTTAATTCATTATACAAATCTTCTGTCATTTTAAATTCAGGTTTACTAGTATTTCCCTGTTCATTTAATATAGACTTTTTACATGGTTTCATCAGTGGAGCATGACTCAATTGTAAAAGTGCAGCCAATAGTGGTCCTATCTGAGCAAGTATTGCTGGACGAAACATAAGTTCATCATATAATTCCATAAGAGAAAGAACTGTAAACTGTATTCTTTTATATTTCTACAAGAAAAATGTAATATTAATTTCTATATTTTCTCTTATTTTATATTTATTAATTATAATAAATGCAAAATTCTTCATACTTGTAAATCTGTTAACTTCTCTTCGTGTATCTGAAGAGCTTTCGGGCATAATTTAGCCATGTCAATTCCAACACCAGGTAAAAGTCCAGGTATAATTCCCATTGCAGTTATCAATTCTATACAAACTTTTACAACATGAAATTGTTTAACACTAATTAAGGATTCATTATTCAGCGAACCAGATGCTTTTATATTTTGTAATACGTAAACAACTGTACGTATGTACTGGTACCTAAACATACAATATTTTCTATTAATTATCCTTAATCATGATTTCAGGAACAATTAGAATATTACCTAATATCAATGTGTTCATCTTCATATTTATTACTAGTTATTTCAAACTTTTCATCCTGGTGTTTCAACGTTGACTGTACTTTCTGTAAAATTTGTTGCAATTTAGTATCAAAATTTTGAACCTCTTCTAAGAACATAAAACATAAAATATCATTAGAAATTTCATAACAGATATTATGCAGTTACACGCGATGAAACATCATTGTACCATTGCCATTTTCATCAAGTGTTGTTAATTTAAATAATACTTCATAGTAGTCCATATTTTCTTTCTAATATAAACTGTGTACAGCAGTGACTATAAATCTATGAATGCTTTTGTTGTCAAGTTGTCATAAATCTATGCACAAGAATAAGCGCCACCTGTTCTATTTTACTACTAGGTCTGTTGATTGAGGCGCTCCGCGCCTAACCTAACAATGTGAAGCGAGCAAGTAAATTTCACGCTAAAGGAAAAATAGTCAACCGTGTCATCCGGTTGAATTGGTTGAGAGGTGCAAGAGAAAAACGTGGACAAAAAGTTTAAAAGTCAGGTGCACAAGGGCGAGCAAATTCAATTTTGCATTAAAGACTACGAGGATATGGTTTTTCGGTGATTATTCCTCCGTGGCATGCGCGAGCGGCGCGCAGGAGGAATATACACGATAATGAGTATGCAAAATCGTTAATTACTCGCTTTCTGTGCACAGTCTATGAACTTTTATGATTAAAGAATGTTCAGTGATCCCTCAGCTACTTTCTCGTATCATATTTGTTCAGATTTTTAATGAAATTAATTAGTTATTAACTAATAACCTAAAGCCAGCCACGGTGACAAGCGGTATACACGAGGTCATTTTGAATAATTAATTACACGTTTTGTGGATATATTTTGTGCACTTTTATGATTGAAGTATGGTCAGCAATGCATTATTTACATGGTTCGATCATAAAAGTTCATAAATAATGTTCGGGTAATGAGTAATTAATTATTTTGTGTCAGCATTCAGATACGTACATGAGCTGCCTATGTTAATTCTACTGCGCATGCAAAATGCAATATTTCGGCACTTTGATGACGTAGTATGGTTTCTGAGGCATTTAGAAACAAATTTCCATTAGGGTTTGATGCGTTTTGATGCCTAATAAAGCCAGAAAATCACTTTTTGTCGAATTTGGTCCAAAACGGTACAGGTGGCGCCATCTAGCGGCAAGCGACGGAACTACGAAAAACTAAAATCCCGATTTTCTCGAAAACTAAGTACTAAAATTTCGATTTTCTCCGAAATTAGGTAATTTTACGTATTTCCGAGGGTCAGAAATTGTTCTGTGGCGTCCCTAGAACCTATATATTGCCGCAAGAACCCCCTAAAAGCGCTAGAAAAGGAAATAGAAAAATAGTCCAAAACATGGACTAAAAATTTGGCGTCCATCTAGCGGTGAAAGTTGGAACTACAAAAATATAAAAATGCGATTTTCTCGAAAATTAGCAAATTCTGAGTACTTCTGAGGGAGCAAACTTTGAGTACTTCTGAGGCTTAGAAAGTGTTATGTGATTGCATGAGAAGCAAAATAATGCAATAAAAGCTCTCTGAAGGCTTTAATAAAGAAAATAAGAAAAATATCATTTTATGGAGAAAATTTGTGGCGCCATCTAGCGGCGGAACTGCGAACTAAACCGAAAAAACGTATGCCCGTACACGCGTTAAAGAAAAATATAAAAAGTATACGCAGTAAAGGGGTTAAATATAAATTGATTTTCTGGGCTTAATAGACAAAAAAATGAATAACTTTTTCAACAAAAATTGCTTTAAAATGTCTAAAGAAGCATACTACATCGTCAAAGTTGCGAAATATTACGTTTTACATTTTTCCATAACGCGTATTCGGACATACGTTTTTCAGTTTAGTTCGCAGTTTCGCCGCTAGATGGCGCCACAAATTTTCTCCATAAAATGATATTTTTTTTATTTTCTTTATTAAAGCTTCCTGGAAATTTTTATTGCTTTATTTTGGTTCTAATGCGATCACATAACACTTTCTGAGCCTCAGAAGTACTCAAAGTTCGCTAATTTTCGAGAAAATCGCATTTTTATATTTTTGTAGTTCCAGCTTTCACCGCTAGATGGGCGGTAATTTTTTAGTCCATAAAATGGGCTATTTTTCTATTTTCTTTAATAATGGTCCTAGTGGGTTATAATTAGATTCGTTCGATTCCGTAGGCAACAAGGAACAATTTGTATATCTCAGAATTTCGAAAAAATCCCTAGTTTTCGAGAAAATCGAAATTTTAGTTCTTCGTAGTTCCGCCGCTCGCCGCTAGATGGCGCCACATGTACCGTTTTGGACCGAATTCGACAAAAATTGATTTTCTGGCTTTATTAGGCATCAAAACGCATCAAACCCTAATGAAAATTTGTTTCTAAATGTCTCAGGAACCATACTGCGTCGTCGAAGTGCCGAAATATTCATTTTTTTATTTTCCTTATATGCGTGTTCGGACCCTCATTTTTTAGGTTTACTTCACCCATTTCGCCGCTATATGGACGCCAATTTTTTAGTCCATAAACTGCACTATTTGGATATGCAATACTTTGTAGTTTTATGTGTTGAATATCTAACGGTGGGTGTTTTGCAATATTCCCAATAATGAAAATTCCAAGCGCGAGCAAATTCAATTTTTACATTGAAGTCTATGATAATCAGTTTTTTCGGGGCTTATTCTTCCGTGGCAAGTCCGATTTAAAATTTTTTTTCTATATTCATCTGGATGTACATACGCATGTGCGTGCAAAATTTGATGAGAATTCATTGAGTGGTGCAAAAGAAAAACGCGGACAAAGAAGTTGCAAAATCAAGTATAAGAGCTTCGCTCGCCTTCGGCTCGCTCGCTCAATAAGATTGTAAAACTGTGCACTCCAGCAATTTGATACACTTTAAGGTAAGATAAGATATCTTCAATATCGATTATAATATGATTTAAACGAACATGTTATCATATCACCGACAAGCGATACAAAAGCCAAATTCATTCAGTAGCATAACATCTTCACCCTCATATCTGTAGTCCATTTATTTAGAATACAAAGATAACAAATCAACAGGTACATGTTGGCTCAACAATTTTTATATAATAAAATAGAGATCTACTATATTCTCAAAATCTACTGTAGGAAAGTTTTATTACTGCCATCTGCCAAGTTGTGTGTACAAACGTACGGAAAATATATATATATCGACTATGTATTTTGTTAGTATGAGATATTGATACGGTGGTGCTGTTGTCGCAATGCAAAAGATTTGCATGCGGGCGGGTCGAATAGATGTAAAAGAAATCGAAACTACGGCAGTTCTTTACATTTTTACTTATAAAATACATTTTACGACAATAGGTGAATGTTTGATATGTTTCTTGTAATAAAAATATAAAACTTTGAGTCAGTTTATAGTGTTGGTGTGACTGGATGACAGATGGACGATTCTTGGCGAAGCCCCTTTTATTGAATATTTTAACGCGAATATATGTTAAGTGTAACATTCTTCTTATACGTACTGAACACTGTCTAACAGTCACAGTACTTATTTATTTGATATTTCTGAAAATCTTTGGTTTGCGTGTGCATCTTGCGGCATAAAAACTGACCCGAAGCTGACGTCACCCGACAGAAATCAATAATCGCACTAAATGTGGACAAAGTTCCGTTAATAAGTTTCATGACATCTATTAACAACATTACAATTTCCACCATGCTTTGTAAACTACGTAGTGCGCTTTTTAAAATAGTTAATTCATAAAGCATTTCTACATATTGTTTAGGTGTTAGGAAAATAGTATAATGATGTCTGACAGAAAAGCAGAACTTGAAAGAAAGAAAGCCAAGCTTCAGGCCATCAGGGAAGAAAAAGAAAGACGCAGGCGAGAAAAGGAACAGAAAGATGTAAGATTATTTTATTTAAATGTTCACAACTTTATTGTTCATTCGTTTAAATTTATATATTTTGGTTTCAAGGTTGAAGAGGCAACAGTTCGTGCTGCGGGAGCAGATAAAGATCATCGTAAAGAACTGGATGCTATGTTATCATCTTTGGGCGTAGCACCAGTATCGGGTATGAATTTTCTTGTTTTAATGCTATTTCTTGTTTTGTTGATTAATATTTTTATATGCGTGTTTTGTTTACAGATGTATTGTCTAGTTTATCTAGTATGAATTCTTTGACTCCGGAACAAAGTGCTAATGCTACTCCCGATGCTAGTCTACAACCATCTAGTATAAACTCTGCTCAAAGGTATGCATATTAAAGAAAGTAGCATTTAACTAACTTCATGTTAAGAAAAAAGAACACTTAGTATTTATTCATGCTTTGTTTTTATAGTAGTGCTGGAAGGAAGAAGAATCGAGAACTTACAATTGTTTCTGTGGCACATACCAATATTCCACCTGTAGAACCAGTTGTTTATAGTAAACAAACACAAACCATTCAGACAACACATACATCTCACGACGGTGAGTTAGTACATCCTATTTTGCATTATAGTTATCTGCATTCAGTGTTGCTTCCAATTGTGAATTTAAAAATATATTTAATCGCTGATAAGTTATCAGCATTTACATCATACTAATGTCAATTAAAATACTTAATAAAAATACGGATATTTTAATTTTATTAAATAAATATAATTGATACACATGTTAATGATAAACATTACTATGATATGCAATTTATACAGTTAATTGCATTTTATATTTATTAATATTTTATCCTTTGTATTCTAATATTATTATTTCTTCAATTATGATATTAATAAATACATTTTTAAATTGATTTGTTCTGCAAATTATGTCATTAAAAAATTAAATTTTAATAATTCATATAGATAATAATTACTTAAACATTAATGTGTGCTACAATCATATTAAGTGATTTGTATAATGTGTGATATATAGGGTGAAGTAGAAAAACGATCGATAACATTTAGGGTAAATAGTACTTTTCTATTGATGAAAAAAGGTCGAAAAATTAATAGTTTCAAAATTATAAATAATTTTTTAGATTTTCATTTTAATGATTTATGAAAATGAATGCAAAGGATTAAAATCTTTGTGATATTAAACGTTTTGAAGATCACTTTTACATTTTCAAGACATTGAGTACGGTAAAGTGGGTGGTGTACACAAAAGTGCATTATATCTTCAAATAATGTCTTTAATGGTATTAATTGATCGAGACATTTATCACACTATAATGTTCTTATATTATATCTTAATTAAGAAGATGTGTTGCATACAGTGCATAATTCTTATTTTTATTGTGATAACAATGACAGTTATAATACTGATTTATATTGTGTTTTATGATTAATTTTAACTAATGAGGAAACTTACATATTCTTAAAACACACTTATACAAAAATGGCATGTTACTTACCGCTAGTATTACTGTCATTTTATTTTTTTTGTGTGTGTTAACATTTGTTTTCAACACTTTTTAAATGAGTATGACTATTTGAAAGAATTTGAAAAAATTTTGTTTACTATCACATATAATAAAGTATGATATTTTCACGAATTATTAATTTATAATTCATTACATACACTAATCATTTTTTGAAATGAAAGATTTATTTGCTTGTATAATTTTTAATATTTTATCTCAATTGAATATTTTGATATTAATAATAGCAATATGGATTTCATATTATATTATTGAAGAAATTAATTATGTTTCGTAAGAAACAAGTACTGGGTGTCTGTAGACAAGGGAATACATGTATCTTTGAAGTTTGACTTTAATGTTAATATTCTGAAACATTACCAAAACTGTAAGATAATACTGAAAAAAGTACATGTTCTAACATTAAAGTAACAAAATTTCTGATACTTTTATTTGTGAATTGGATACATCTTGTAAACTGAGTATTAGTAGAGATGAATAACACTCAACACATAAGAAGGTTGTGGACAAAAATATTATTTTTCTTGGTGGTGGAAACTATATTTCTCGTATTTTACACTTCTATTTTATTAATGCGCAATTTCAGTTAGTTTTAATATAAGTTTTAAATTTTAATTTGCTTTTTTATTTAATTTAATGTGAAAATATATTAAAAACAAACAGTTTATAGGCTTCGTTTTTATCTATTTTTCATCCCACCTACTTTACTATAAACTTTTGATCAAAGTATCAAATTTGACTTAAAACACATAGAAAACTGATTTTTTATCAGTATCAAAATTTATATACAGTTGTATAATTTTTTACTTTAAAAGAATGTTCAATATAAACATGGGATATGTAGAGTCTGTTACATACATACTCTGATACCTAACTGATTTTGCGGCATTATTAAGCATACCGTATTCCATTGTCTTTGGTATACAATCGGTCAAATCAACCGGTACTGGACATAAGGACTGTCCGCATCTTCTTCTGCATACACCATCTACTCCTGTTCGACAACAACACCAACTCACTCTTACTCCGCAGGCTACTTTGAGGCTGACTGGTGGCGTCCCAGGAAAGGTGGGTCTGCACCAAACTACCTATGTATGTTCTGCCTTCTTTTTTATTATTCTTGCTATAACTGTTGTACAACAATATATTATAGAGGTAGATACATTGGTATCCATGTTTAAAAGAAAGAGATGTAGAATCAGTTATATGAAAGGATTTAGTTGTGTTCATTTTTATTAACTGTCATGATGTTCCACATGTCATTATAATATTAGTATTACTAAAAGTAGAACACTTATAAGAATGTTATAAATTTTCTTGATTCTACAACTCCAATTATGCTACATTGTTGTATGTGGGGATAGGTATGTGTATTGGAATACTAAGAATTTCAAGTATATGATAAAGCAAAGTAATCAAAATTAGAAAACAAAATTCTGAAGTTGGTTCTTTAAAATCAATTTATTTATATATCAACAATATACATTTTATCTACTACTTCCATATGCAACACTTATTTGTTCGCATAAACAATAAGCTTCTAACTTGCTTCACATACCTTAATTGAATAATATACTAACAGTTTATCAAAATTATACAGTATATTAACTATAGGCGTCCTGTTTGTTGGGAAAATTAAAAAATTTTTACAACAAAAAGTCAATGTACCTTGACTCATGTGTGCTAGTATTAAAATTATCAAGTACATAAATTAATTATTATTCATGGTATAATGATTTATGAACATGAATATTAGACAGTAATATTGCTTTAATCACAGTAGTACTAAATATAATGTTTTAGAAATCCAGTTTTTTACTACTTTGTTTAATATTTAAAAAAAGAAATAATATTGAAAAGTGTTTTTATACAATGACTGTTATTTGTTATAATGTGTAAAATGTAGTGCATTGTAGACATGTTCAACATTTTAACAAAACTTATATTTAAAAAGGATAGTGAAATTTGTTTTTGAGAAACTTGGGGGGGTGGGCATAAGTGTGACAAGTGATGTAAGTGAGATATCAAATTTTTATAATTAAGCATCCATTGGTAGTCATAATAGATAAATGCTTTATTACTTTATGTTATGTAGCCAATACTATTTTATTTAAAATCAGTAATAAAATATAATATTTAAGAGAAAGTGTTGAATTATGATAAAGATTGACATTATTTTAATTTCGATGATGTAAGATGCATTGAATATGTATGTTTCCTCTTACATGTAGGACCACAGCACCACACAATATAAAAATTTACAAATCTATACTCACCTAACTACATTCAGCGGATAAAAGTCTTTTTATTTTTGCTTTTTGTGTAATTATAGACCCAGTTTTCTTTTATTTTTATCATAGTTTATTTTTATAATAAACATGTGATTTCTATGAATGTAGAAATACTTTAAATCACAATAACAATTTATATAGAAGATTTTATGAGGAAAAATATATGAATTTTAAAATAATGCATATTTTAAAACAGACCAGTAACAATGAATCAAATTTTTTAAAGTTTTAATTAAAAATCATTTCTATACAATAATGCAAAATATTGCGTTTTTGCAATTGTATTTTTCTTTACATTATAGTAATGATATTTTCCTTAAAATATTTATGGTCTGAGTGTAGAGAGGTGTTATTAGTGTAGTGCATTCTTATGAAATTGTAACTAAGTACAATTTTTTTCCCTCCCCTTCTCAGCTCATGCATTCGACTATTACGGTAAGTTATGATTTCTCTTGGTTTTCAACAAGTTTTAGGTTCAGATTTAGGTTTAGCTATATTTCGTTTATCACTTAGGATTAATAATATGAAAAATGAATTCAGAGTACAATAAATAATCATTATTATAGAATTAGATTAAAAACCCTTTAATATTAAAATTAATTTTTAAGCTATGAGAACTATCACATTGGTTGACTTTCAATATAACATGATTAATTAAAGAATGCACTCTCTTTTTTCTCTTGGTTATCAATAAAATTTCTTTAACGATCAAATCAGAAATGTTATTTTCTAAATTTAAAATAAAATTGATCAGTGTCTTAAAACTCTCCACCCAGAACTTAAGATATCTCTGCTATCTTATGAATTGCTTTGGTCTTTTGGCTCTTTTAATTTTTATGTTCTATTATTATTATTGGGTGTGTTTACTTTGAGTTATTGTATGTATTACTTTTTAAGTATTTATCTGACATCCCGACTTTTAAACTAAAATAATTTGGCATTTACACATTTATGAAAGTATACACTCAAATTCAAACAATAAATGCAGATAGTATAAATGTTTACTCTGCGAATAGAAATTTTAATACATGCTTCCAAGTATTTAACACAAATCAGTACACACAACACTGTGTGCAAGATACGTACAGAAGGTATTTGCAAAGTGAGTTTACCCAATGTAGCTCCATTTCTTTTGTAGAATAATAATAAAGTTTTTCTTATTTTATGGTATTTATATAAAAAGATTGAATGTGTAATTTAGAATACATACTTTATTTTATACCAGTATCACATAAGCATGATATTTTTAGAATTTACAGACTACCTTTGGACTATATAATTGTTTGTTATAATATCAAAAAATACAACTTTAATGAACGAAATTTTATTCAAATTAAATAATCTTTTTATTAGAAACAATCTGTTAACTTTTAACAAGTAAGTAATGTAATAAAAGTATCATTTACAAAAAAGAAGTTATAACATTTTCATGAAATCTGCTAGATTGTTTAATATTTGTTTGAAAATGGGACTGTCTGAATTAGAAAATACTTTACGTACGAATATCCATTGGCAAATCTTGTCACAACTTAACGCACCTTCCAGAGTTCTCGGCTTGGTTATTATTTCCGTAACTTTTGGAATACTACAGTGTACTAACATGGGAGCGGATGCAATGGTGTTGGGATCAGTAAATATTATAAGCAAACTTTTCGTTAAAATAGTTTACAAAGAAAACATGTGGCTTCAGCTTTTAGTGTTGCTAACATGCAACTTACTGTTGCTTGAAAGACATTTCGAAATATAAATATGAATATTGCTTTTTAATAGCACGGTTTCTTTTTTACGAAAATAATTAGTAAAAAGAGAAAGAAACGACTAAAATAGAAATTTTTGAAGATATATTTTTACATCGATATTAATATATTTTTCCGACAAGTCATCCAGAATTCGATTACATTTTGTAAGAAAATTTTGGATTTAAAAAAAAAAATTCTTCCGTACTTTTGAGACATATTTAAATGAAGTAGTAGTAAACAATCTTATATTAGTAGTCGGAGATGTCAGTTTTTTATATCAAAATATTTAAACGTTTCAAACTTTTTCTTATTTTTATTTTTTTTTTCTTATTATTTCTAGGACATTTTTCTAAAACTTGAAAAATAGGTTTCATAATAAATTTACTTTACGAATACTGTTTCGACAGATTTCAAAGCTCTTACAAAAATTTATAATAAATACAAAAAAAGACAAATACTAGCTTTACTAAAAAATTTCAAACGATTGAAATTTCGATAGTCCATTGAAAAGATGAAGTATAATTTGAAATATAATTTTTGAAAGGCTAGGTGTTCAAAAAAAGGGATTTCACCCTTTTTAATGATACGATTGTATCGAACGATATAGTGGCATTAATAGGTATACGTGCATGTTTAAATATTTAATACACGTTCACACATACACTTTCTAGCTAATTGTTGATGTATCGTAAAAGAAAAATTATGACGTATAGATGTGTTAACGAAAATCGGTAGTATATTTCAAGCGTATTTTTAGTGTTCTGTTTAGAAGCATTAAATACATCAATAATTTTCTACGAGAGATATGAAATTAGAAAATAAACACAACTAACATAATGAGACACAAGATTGATTGACATTTTCTTTTCCCTCCTTCAAGACGAGTACAATCTAAATCCTGGTTTAGAATGGGAGGACGAATTTACAGGTAGGTAATCCTCTCTAGAGATGATTTACTCTACCTAATCGTATTACGAACACATGAGATTACATTGATTTTTCACAAAAATTGCATTTGCAAGTAACCTTCACTTCATTCTTTTTTTCTTTTCGTTTCTTTTCAATTATTGTACCTACACATATGCACTGAAAGGAGGGAACATGTACTATCAATTTACACTAAAAATTGCTTGATAAATCGTCGAATTGTTAGGTAGTTTTTCTGTAAAAAATATCTTCGCTTTGGTTAATCACGCATGGATAGATAGTATACTGTACTTGTAATTTTATTATATTCACTATGCATGAACGACGTAATTTTATGAATCAGTGATGGGCAAACCCTGCGAGAGTGTGATGTGTGACAATTTGAAAATTTCCTCCATTTTTCGTTTCCAAATTTTTTCCACTTTTTCGCGATTGAAAATCTCACATTTCTAAATTTCTAAATTTTTTAATCTATAGATTTCGTTGGGTAGTTGATCTGCCCATCACTGTTATACATACTTTATTTCCGTTTCATACTATTAGACAGTATTTCTTTGTGAAACTATAGATTTAGTTCAAACTGTATCTTTTCCTGTTCTTTTTCTCTTTTTTTAAATAAAAATGTACTTAGTAAATGCTGCATGAGACTTGGGAAGTTGCGTTAATATCTCCACTCAGTTTTTGTGTTTTTATTCTTCTTTCATATAATCGAACATTTGTAAATTTATCCTGCTAATGGGTAATATCGCGAAATTGTCATTTAATGATTACAAAACGCAACGACTATAAAAGAAAATAAATTCATCGATTTTTTATCGATTCTTCATTTTTTTCCACTCATTCTTCCATTTCATTTACGTTTGCTAATATACGAAGGGTGGAGAGATACCGTTTTAGATCGTTTTCGGAATTCTAAACATTCGAAACGAAAGTTATTCATTTTTATTTGTATAGCCCCACCAACAAGCAGTCCACCTTTCTTTTTACATCTAACTAATATCAGTGCATGTGACTCAGCCTAATAGTTATTTTTGCAGTATTGCGTTTGTTTAATTCTCGATTAGTTCTCTTTTTTTAAAACATGCTTTTTACGGAAGCTTTTCAAAGAGAGTTGCATCCCTTTTCAAACTTGACGCTTCCACGATTTATTTGCGAACATTTATGTTTGTTCTGTTTATCTCGAAATTTTACGTGACAATCTTAGAATTTAACTTGATTTTCGAAATCTTGTATATTTTGCAAAATTGTTCGAATGCTCCGCGTTATTTTCGTTTATTCATTTATTTTTTTTCAATATGCGTTGATACAATAGGTATTGTGTTATGTAGAACATTGCAAGGTATCGATTAAGTTCATAGTGTTCACCTTACTTTGAGAAACGTAGAGCATCGAATTTTTAAGTAGGGCAATTGCCAAGAGGTAGCTAGATGTATCAAAGTTAGGGTATCCGTGGCGGAACCAGCTTATTCACCACAGTTTTGACATTTGATGATGGCCAAGCCGAAGATGAAGAGAACAGCTTGCCGCATATGGACGGTTTCCAGAGCAAACTTCCTCCTGGTATTCTTCCTCATGGTTTACCTCAAGTTAAAGAAGTGCAGCCCGCCGTTACACAAGTGGAGCAGGAAAAAGAAAAAGAAAAACCTAAAGAAGGTAACCTTTTAATGCATTATTTTATTTCAATCGATTTCGAAACAAAGGTAACGGTACCTAATTAATAAGTTACAAAATTTATGAGTGATCATGTAACATAATTCCGAACAATGTGAAATAGTTTTTTCCTTGAAACAAACTTTATTCCATAAAGTTATTTCAAAGATACCTTTTTTCATATTTGCATGTATAGTTTTCAAATAAATGTAATATAGTACTTTTTGAACTGTTTAAGAGAATAAAGATTTTTAAAGTGAAAAATGGTTACAAAAAATTGTGCATTAATTAGGAAAATATGTATGTATTTAAGTTTTTATTTTTACATGATACATCTACGAAATAATTTTTATTTAAATACCTTTATAAAAGATTATTAGTAAGTTAGCTTGTTATTTTACTGAAGTTTCATTCCTGGGTATTTGTTTAGCAACCAGCTACCCAACCGGTCAAAAGAAACTCATGAAGTTTTGTTCAATTTTAAGAACTGTTAAAAGGTGTATGCTTACTTTTTACACTTACAATAATTATGAAATGTTGATTTATAGTACGAGAACTTAGTGAAGAGGAGAAACAAATGATCATATTATCTGAAGATTTCCAACGATTTCTTGACCGTACAAGTCGTATTGTAGAAAGAGCATTAGGAGAATCTGTTGATATTTATACCGATTACACCGGCACCGTGGATGGTGAAGATGGAATGTAAGTAAACCCACAATGAGCACCGAATTTAAATTATATTATATATATCGTTCACACAAAACTTACCTTTTTATATGGGTTGGGGTAACATCCTCCTTCTTGTAACATTTAATAATTTTGCTTACTGCTAAAGAGGTTTAATTAGAAATCTGTTCAACAAAAAATAGTTTTAGATTTAGTAGTACGAAATAATAAGTAAATAGAGTAAATAATGAAATAATTTCAGGGACGAAAAGAGCCATCAACGTCTATGGTTGAACCGGTCGTTCTTCTGCGACCGGTGGTCTCGCAACCGTTGTGTGACCTCGATGGATTGGTCATCTCAATTTCCGGAACTTCTTGTAGCTTCCTATAACAATAACGATGACACCCCTAACGATCCCGACGGGGTCTGTTTAGTTTGGAATACAAAGTTTAAGAAAACCACACCGGAATTCATTTTTCACTGTCAGTCTCCGGTGATGTCAACCACGTTCGCTAGATTTCACCCTAATTTAATCTTAGGAGGTACTTATTCTGGTCAGATTGTTCTGTGGGACAACAGAGTTCAAAAGAGATCTCCCATTCAACGTACTCCACTATCAGCCAGTGCGCACACTGTAAGTACTTAAATGAAATGCTTCCCTCTGTTTATAGAAGAATTGATCCTATAAAAATACTTTAATAATTGTAATTTTAGCACCCTGTTTATTGTTTAAACATTGTTGGAGCTCAAAATGCACACAATTTGATAAGTATTTCAACTGATGGGAAGGTTTGCTCTTGGAGTTTAGAGATGCTGTCACAACCGCTGGAGACGTTAGAGCTTCATACTAAGCAATCGAAGCCTATTGCTGCTACTTGTTTGGCATTTCCTTATGGAGATGTCAATAATTTTGTTGTAGGTAGCGAAGATGCAACCGTATATTCTGGTAAATAATAATTATTATGCATTGATTTCAAAGGAATTTTGTTGTCTTTTACAAGCGTAGTGCTTTACAAGTTCATTTTAGTAACAATAACATAACACTCTTAATAAGAAATTTAAGAAAGAAGAGTATTTATTCATTGAAGAATACTATGATTGATTTCATGGACATTCAGAACTTTTTTTCATGAACTTTTAGACAAGTAGTCGTGAAACATTTGACGTATATTGAGCTACTAAAATAAAAATAACATAGTTTCCTTATTGAAGCATCATCATCCAATAATCTGTTTGTTCATACTTACCATCACTTTTACGTTTATCCCAATTTAATACAGTGTGAATCATTTACTATCTTGATGATATATTTATTTAGAGGTATAACAGTGTCTTTAATTCCTTTTCCAGCTTGTCGTCACGGCACAAAAGCTGGAGTACTAGAAACTTATGAAGGTCATCAAGGACCAGTTACCGGAATCAGCGCGCACGCTGTACTAGGAGGAATAGATTTCTCACATTTATTCTTAACATCTTCGATTGACTGGACGATTAAATTGTGGAGTCTTAAAGAGAATAATCCTCTGTACTCTTTTGAACACAATGGCGACTACGTGTACGACGTCGCTTGGTCACCGACGCATCCAGCTTTGTTTGCTGCTGTAGACGATTCAGGACGATTGGATTTGTGGAATCTTAATCAAGATACCGAAGTGCCTACAGCTAGTATAGTAATTGATGGATCCCCAGCTCTTAATAGGGTGTCATGGACTCCTAGTGGGTTGCACGTAACCGTTGGGGATGATACGGGAAAGATCTGGGTGTACGACGTTGCCGAGGTAAAATTACTTTATATTTTATACACGGTTGCTTTGATTTAAAAAGTAATTATACATTTTGTTAAATAATTATATTTGAACAAAGGATATGATTAATGTAATATTTGTTTAAATATAGCATTTAGCACATCCAAGGATCGATGAATGGAATAAATTCTTGTACACACAACAAGAATTAAAACATAATAAAGCAGATGAAGAATTGCATAAATTAAATCTGAGGGAGCCTGCTTCCTTAACTTCTACACATCCTTTAACTAGGTATGGCTAGTCCTCTTAGATAAAGATATTTTGTTCAGGTATCGTTATTACTTTCGGTTTAAATATCAACTTAAAATGAAATGAACTTCATGTATAATCTTAAAGAACAACACTAAAAAAAAGAACAAGGAGACGTATTAATTGCTGTTTATCGATGTATCTTTAAGTATCTGTAGAATATTTTTATTTTGTATAAAGCATTGAACAGCAAAACGAATGCGTGAACAATTTACACGCACCACATTTGCTGTGTCTTCAAACGGCTATAAATTCAACATGTCCAGTAGAAACAGTATATGCTTATTACACTATTTTAATGCAGTAAATACGTTAAGCATGTATGCGACATATTTGTGCATGTAAATAATCAAAGCTATAAATACCAATGAAATTGATAAATTGCAGAAGCAACATAAAAAAATGATAAATTTAACAAAACCAATATCAAATAAATTATTATAATATCTTAGTTGCTAATATCCGTGGATATTTATATGTCACGTTTAGAATAATTTTTCAAAATACGTATATTGTTTTCATTCTAATACTCTTAACTAACGTATTAAAAGTAACGTTATTAAGAACACTTATGAAGATTTAATTATTATTTATATTCGTTTAGGAACTTAATATAATTTAAGCGCTGTAATTCGTTTTCTGTATAGTTTATAGTATAATAAATATAGAAAAATTAAGTAAATAAAGATTATCGACTAAAAATGTATATATAACATTACTTTTGTGTTATTATAAACTGCTGGGCTTTATCAAAAATGTGATATTGTTATATACTACTGTGTTGGAATACGTACTTCTGCTCAAATTAAGCATACTTTAAATGTAATTTTTTTATAAGAAGAACCTTTTAATCCTAATTTGTCGATCATGGAATTTTCTGCCGGATGCATTACATCATAAATTTATTAAATGTTTTTGTAACGCATATTTTTTAATTTAATTTTTAATAAATGATGATGATTGTCTGTATAAGTAAATAAGTTGATTTTCTTTAATGCTGCAAATAAAAATTTATTCAAAAATTGATTGCGTACTGTTTATTCAGTACTTTAGACAGTTTTATCATAAACATAACATTTTTTTCATCCTGTAATCTTGTAGATGTATATTTACTTTTCAGGGTTAAATGTAAAATAGAAATCATGTGCAAATTCGGTAAGAAATGTTTTATTATGACTACATCTAATTTTAATTTATATTGTTACTCGTTAACAACAATTTTCGTAAGGTTTTAAATGTCGTGCATGTAGGATAAAAATGTTTTTTTATTATAATAATAAATTTTATTGTCAATAATAGCATTACGTTTACATAATAAATGAATAACTTAAGATATGTTGAAAATATACACTTTGATCGCCACATTTAAAGCTTTTTAAACATATTCTTATGATAAACTCTTCTATAATAAAAAACAATTTATAAACAAATTAAATAACATAAATTTTATTATCTCTAAAAAATTTCGTAGATTATTTTTCCAATACCAAATTTAGATCTAATACATATTTTTCACAATGTTTTTCATTTGTAAACTTTGAGATTCGGATAAATTGATTTTTCAATTACTATCAATTAAAGAATAACTTATTTTACGTATATTATTTTATGCACCTTTGCATGTTTTGTTTATATAAGCTGTTAACAATAAAAAGTTTTAACCACTATGCAAAATTCAATTGTAGACGGTCTGAAGTTCGTAGTTTCCGTTTGTTTTGTATTAAAGGTAGAAACGAGGATAAATAGTATAAACATTATACGCTAACTAAAGTATCGGTTATTCAGTTTAAAATTTTGCTTGGCAACCATTTACGTAAAAATCTAACAGTACTAATATCGCTTTTAATTTTGATCGTGCATCGACAGTTTGTATACAGTCAAGATATTCAAGCTAGTTTGAGTCTTGCTCTTTCTTGCATTCACTTCTCTTACACATTTCTCTTACACTTCTCTTGTTAACTCTAAATCATCGGAAGATTTTTAGTAAATATTTCAAATTGTTTTATACAATATTTCACTTATAAATTTAAAATTTTTCGCGGAATGTTAATTTTTTATATATATTATGCCTAAATATACATATACATTTTTCCAAAGAATCAATGTATGAAAGAAATATACAATTCTGTTTAAGAAAGAAACGATGATGATTGTAAAATTTTAATAGATGTGTCCTTGAGATGATCTTCACTCTAATCTAATTTTAATTCTACTATAATTTTCTCTTAACAAATACAAAGTAAAATAATCAAAATAATTAAGGGTGTAATTATTATGAATTAGTGATATAATTTATTAATTGTTTTCAGAATAGTATTTGGCATAAAAGAAATAATCAGAGAGGGGCAAGACTGGGTTAAGCTTAATGATTTCTTATTTACAGTTACAATGAATGTTTAATTGAAATATGCAGTGTTTAAAAGTTACTAAGTTTCAAATTTCAAAATTTTTAAATTGTTAAATTTCTTAATTTGAATGTTTAAGAACCTCTGATATCAAAAATTGTAAATCTATAAACTTAAAATGTATTAATTAGTATATTCAAAAATTTCTTTTCCGTTTTCAAAAAAGCACGCGAAACTATAGACACAAAAATAATTAATAATTCACCGTACAGTTATTGTCAGGTATATTTGCCAAGTACGTTATATTGCGATTCATATGCATCAACGTCCTCTTTGTATAATTGGAAAGAAAACTTTGGTGTACATTGATCAAACGATTAAGCGTTTTGCGAGACGATATATTGCCTAACGCGGTGTACATGGTTTGTTTCAAAAGTAATGAGATTGTTGTTTTAGGCCGGTAACCGTTCGATTATTTCTTATAAGGAACATCCTGTGCACGCTCATATTACTTACACTAGCGTATCAATGTCTGATCAAAATGTTCTATTTTTATTTTTATTATAGGTACTCGATATTTTTATGTGTTTATTATAGGTAATCAATGTTACGCTTAACTTTTATACAAGAATATTTAGAAATTATAGCGAAACGTATCGAAATACCATCGTGTTCTGACTTTGGCCAAATTTTGCAAATAAGCTTCGTTTTAAGAAAGGAAATACCTGTGAAAACAATTTTTGATTGATTGATTTTATAAGGGCCTCGACTGCTATGATTACTGGCCGAAAACAATTTTTGGCAACTCGAAAAAAATTTGTTACCATTTTCATTTTCTACCTTATTGACGATCGTTCTGCTATTCTGAAAACGGTGCTACGAATTAAACAAAATTTTGAAAACAGAAATCTTTAAATATTTCTTCTTTATATGTATATATACATATAATTCATGTAGTTTTGTTGAATACTTTAATGAAGTTATTTATGAAGTTATTTACTCTTGCACTCCGAATAATTTTATGCATATTAAAGTTAAAGATGGCCGGAGAGATCGCGCCACATATTCCATTTTTGCGAAAGTTAAATTAATATTGATTTTGTTGATTAATATGCTAAATATGTATTATACATTTATTGATATTGATTTTATACTGTTTGCAATATATTCCGTGGGTCCCAAGATACGGATTATGTGTTCAAATTCGCATACTACATTGTATTTCGTCGATGATATAGGGAATGACATAAGAATGACAAAAAAATTTCTTTCGAGTCGTCAAAAATCATAATATACTATATAACGGTACAACAATATATATTGTTCAAACGCTCCGCTTTCATGTATTAAACACTTTATACAATAACATTTCTTTATGTTTTTCTTAACGAAATTAATGTCATACGTAGCATAAACACTGTTTATGTTTGAATAATATAGATTAATCCGTTCTTTCGTGTTTTCCACAGAAATGGATGAGAATGCACTTCACCCTTGAGGTAACCCCCATAGAAAGAAATCAAGAGGATTAAGGACGGGAGAATGCGGTCATGGGACTGTGTCTTCCAAACCATCTGTCAGAATAAATTTGTCGTACGTAATTTGTTACAGCTGCTTCTACGAAACATTTAACTTATAAAAAATCTAGGATATTACACGAAATATTGGATTTTTATCATTGCATCCTTTACGCAGAATAGTATACGAGTAAGAAGTACTTCCATTAAAAAAGTACATTAATATTTGTTGAATTCATTGTTACGAAGAAAATGAAATTGTAGAAAGATATAATATTATTCAGCTTTCTCTACAATTTGTCTTACTAAACAGTTACAGGTGCATGATTTTCTGTACTGAGTACAGTACAATGCTTCGTATAAATATACCAACCCCTCATTTTTTAATGTGGTAGAAAATTATAGTCAGTATTCCTTAAATACTAATTCGTAGTGTGTAAATTGTCTAAAGAAATTACAGAAATAAAATTGCACAAATGACATGCAAACCGAAATATTAAGCTTGTTACATAAAACTTGATTTTCAGACGTTTCATAAATGTGATAACATTATTTCTAAGTTGGCGTTAATCAAGCTTCACAAGTAAACAAATTAAAAATAAATATACAAATGTTTTGTATCATTTTGTTTTTATAAAATTTGAATTTATAGAGTAGTGTCATATATTTATTTAACGCATTGTATGTAACGTTCGGCGCTATCTTCATCATAACTTTAGCGCTGCAAATTCTAATATCAATGAAATTTGTGTTTGAAACTCAAGTACTTGAAATTTTGGCCTACTCCCCCAAATGTTTAGTTTACTTCAACTCTGATCGTTTCACCGGTCATGGACGTGTGAACATGTTAACCCTTTCTGCTACAGTAACTTGTGACACACTTGCAGTTTAAATATAGTAAACCTTCCTCAGTATTTTTAGCACGCATTTTCAGTGTAGGTAATTATAATTTCTTAAGGATTGAATTGAATACCGGTATGGTTTTTAATCTTCTTCATCAGTTTTGACACGTCTGTCGTGTTCAATAAATAGTAGTGCAAGGGATATAATCTCATCACTTTTGAAACCGACCAGCATATACTTAAACGTACATTCGGCACTATCCACAAAATAGTTACACTAGATCTCTATCCTCTCTGGTTTTTCCTGATCATTGTTAAGTAAAACGTACAATTCTCGGGACATTAACAGTTTATGTTGTCCATTCACTAGCAACGTGGAACTTCTTCTAATAGTCCGTTTACCTAACTCGACTGCTTCGTGCGTGAATACGGCGTTGTTGTAGGCTTTCACGAAAACGGTAATTATGATTATCATACCGACTAGAATTAATCCATACGAGGCACAGGGAACAGCAACGTCGGAGAACGTCGTTGCTAAATAAACCCATCTGCGGATAGAAGGTGTTAATTCCTCGATACCTTCTTCGAGCCACATGATGGGGAACACGATGTCAGGAAAATTCGACACGACACCGATGAGTGGCTGTCGTTCGACTTTCAAGTTCAGTTGTACACGGACTTTTCCTTCTAGCGGTACTCCGAGTTTCTGGAATATTAAGAAACCATTTTTTATTAGTTCATTAAGACGTTAGGTTATTAGGACCGTCGGGGTGATAGTTTGCACGTAGGCACTGTGACGGTTTAATTAATATTTGATATTATCGATAATATAATAAGTAAAGTGTTTGACTTTATTTTCTAAGGATTTTATCAAGTTTCTCAATAAGTTTTCATACACGTTTGTTTCCTTTTACACTGTATTAAAAGGATAAAAATTTGATGGAACAGCGCCTCCACTTAACTACTAGCAGCCATTGGAACCTCGTATCCACGTATTCAATGTCATTGAAGGGTTTACATTAATTAAACAAAATTTGACGCAGCTTCATTATAAAATTAGATTTTATAAAGAATAATGAAACTGGAAGGCCATATTATTTTTTCCCTGTTTCTTCTTTTATTTTTCCAACATTATCTCTTTAATATATTCATCGGATCTGCTTATAAAAGAGTACTTACTGGCTGTATTTTAAAATACGTTTCATGGGTCTCTGCATTTGGTTCCAATCCATGAACTGCATCTAATAATTTAGGATCCGCTTTATAGAAATGAGGAAAAGAAAGATATACCGGTGCAGCTGAAAGAAGAAATACAAACTATAAGTTTGCGAAGAATATACTTTAGAATATATTTTCATTTCATTGAATAGTTAGTACATGAATTCATTACGTTTCTTTTATTAAACGAATTCAATAATTTATCAATAAATAAATGTTTCACTGAGAAAGTAAAAGTTGATATTTACTGTACTGGCAAGGACTAATATTCTGCAGGCCATTCGAAGGACAGGCAGACATATCGTCAGAACAGAAGCATTCATTTTCGGGAGCGGTTTCGTTAGGTCGTCCAAACACCACGTCAGGTGGTGTGTACAAATCCGCTTTGATTCCTGATTTTTCACTGGGACCACGATATTGTAGGGGTAAAGTTCGGCAAAGATCTTTATCCCATACATGAACGATGTCAGAACCGGTCTTTTCACGAGGTGGGAAAAAAGATCCTGAAATGAAAAAGAATGTGAAAAACGAATTCTACGTTGAATAGGATGATACGATCTATAGAGTAGAGATATACAAATGTGTTTTATTATAAATTCAAATACATCCATAAAAATTTACATTATATGGGTCCTCGATCCATTAGTGATTCACGTTGAATGTTAAAACGTGAGGATCAAAATAAAATTGGAGGATGATACAGCGACATTCTTTTATTTAACCTCATCTTCCTTTTTAAGTATGCAGTATAAGTTGATAGCAAAAGAAGGAGAGAGTGAATCTCGATGCATAAAATATTGAGACGTAGAGAGATTATTAAGAAATATATTGATAGAGAGATCATTAAGACATTTTTTATTTACAAAATATCAATTATCAGAAATTGTTTATTTATTATTTATTTACGACAATTGACGTAATTTTTCATAATGTTATGTAATTTACTGGATGAATTTATATCATTTTTTGGAGCGAGAAAGATAAAGTTTGTTATAGCTGCTTGATAAATAGCTGTCCTATAATTTACTGTTTTCAGGGCTTTAGAGATGAGCTCCTCTAAGAAAAAAAAGAATTATCGAATACAGATGATCTGTGTGTTTATTCGATACAGTTAATGTTTCAAAGTGATTAACAATATTTACCTTCAGAGGCTCGAATAGAGTTACACGGCGCATTCGGCCAATATGGCAAATGATCTAATCCATTCAGACGATTGATTAATCCAAATTCCTTCATGTCTGTGTGTCCAGTATAAATAGTCGACACTTCGTTCAATGTGCCATTCCTCTGTAATTGAAATGATCAATGTTCTATCAAAATTAATGATTATTTTTCTGTAGCATGATTATAAAATTCTTTAAAATTCAATTTTCTTCTTATATAGTTAATTGACCATTTGTAATTGAACTTTTGAGAATGACGAAAACAAACTTCGCAGTTAGTCTTCTAATCTGTCGTAATATTCCTTGACGTTTCACACAAAAGCAGTGACTCATATAATTTATTACTCACCCCCAAAAGAAGTCCCATTCGGCTCATGGGACGCCTTGTTTTCGGGAAAAACCGGTGAGCAATGCTAACTAGTGGATCGTCATATCCAAAAACGAGTTCCTGAGCGGTCACAGGAACAAACGATCGCATATTCATTCCCCTCAGAAACACTGATAATCCTAAAGTAAGAAATCGAGGTAGACTTTTGCTTTGCGTTGAGAGAGTCTAAAAAATACAAGATAAGTTTTGTCGTAGGAATAGGCGAAGCATTTTTCTCTTGAAATAATTCAGAATGTAATGCAATACAATCCCTGGTCATCGAATTAGGATCGCGTACGAAAATTTCACTTTTATGGCCATATTATGTCATATATGGAAAATTATCTTGGGTCATGCAAATTATTACTAAATACGTTGATAATGATATGCACATAGCAATTTGTTATTATAAAAATTTGGACACGATGCTTGTTTTATTCAATTTGACATCTGATACTACAGACCCTGACCATCGGATTAGGACCGCGTACGAAAATTTCACTTTTATGGCGATATTATGTCATATATGGAAAATTGTCTTAGGTCACGTAAATTATTACTAAATACGTTGATAACGATATATACATAGTATTTTGTTACTATCGTGATAATAAATTGTGTGGGTGATGAGCGATTAACCGTGCGAGCGTTTACGTTAGGCCGAGTATCGATAGCGCGTCAGGTGAAATTTGAATGCCATAGAAAATGTCTGCCTACTCAAAAGACTAGTTTACAACTCTCCAACCACATTATCTGAGTTGAAAAGAATTACAGATATTTGGGAAAATAATGAAGATATAAAGCATATGATCAATGTATACGGAGCATGCCGGATATAAGCTGTAACCAAAGCAAAGGATGGAAATACAAGATATTAACATGTGTTAATAATGTTATGTACAGTAGTAGTTATGTTAGTAGCTAATAAATTATTACAATTTGAACAGGCCTTTTAATTTTACGGAAAACGTGAAAAATACTGAAAATTTATAGTGGTAATTCGATGGCTAGGGGTTGTACAGAGTACATTTTATTAAAATGATAATATCATGAGTATAAATAAATTCTCGTAGTCACGTTTATAATGTGTTTATGATGAACGAATATCCGAAAAGTGTACTTACCAGTAATGGAATGTTTGGTACAATTACTTTAAGGTTCTCGTCTTTAGACAATTCCGGCACGAAGTTTAATATTTTTTTGTGTTGGTAACTTACGGTACCATTATTGTGAAAAACAATATTTACTTTCTCCATGTCTTCTCTGCAAAAGAGAAAATTAAGCTTTTTAGATACACATCGTGAGTTTTTATAGATGTTATAATTAAAAAATATTTACACTATATGTAAGTATATATTGGAACAGTTTAACATTACGAAAAATGTTGTCACTCACGAAAGTGTTCACTCTCCTTACAAAATGTCCGGTCTGAGTGAAACAGACACATTATTATATTAATTATTTATTTACTAAGATAATGTGACATTAAGGTTTAATTATGTTGGGATCAATAAGGGTTATACAAGTTAGGGACAAGCTTTTAACGTACGTCGTAAAATATACAAAAATTGTATTTGTAAAAAAACATTTAAGTTATTAATTTATTTAAGTAGATTCATGTATGGAGATAAAGGTATTTTTCTCTGACCCGAAACAGTAGTTTAGTGATAACATTTATTCCTAGAAAGCCTAATAAGTTGAGAATAATTGAAAATAGTCAAAATAACTTTTGCGTCCTCGTTAAATATCATTCAGTAAAAATGAATAATTTGAATTTCATTTCAAACTCTTTTCTAAACTCTTACTAACTCTACTTAGTTGGTAAAAATTTAACGATTTCGTTTCAGTGAATATTAAAAATTTCAATGAATTTCAATTTAATATCGAAGTATTGTATTTGCGAATAATGTGCACATCTTGATAACAATAACTCTTTTATTTTCCAATAAGTATTAATATATGCATTGTTCAGTTGAAAGCTATACAAATCAGCTTTGATACCCGTTTTCAAACCACACCCTTAACAAGGATAGCATTCAGACGCAAATAAGGAAAGGATTAAATCCATCGTGTTCCTTAAAAATAATTTGAGAGTCAGAGAATTTACACAAGAACTGTTTCACAGAATTGGTGATTCAATGCAATAAAATTCTTTGAGGAAATTCTGCTTGAGGAAAATTTTGGAAGCTGCAGTAAATATTCATGGAATGCAATTTTGTAAAAATATCGAAATTATAAAGTAGATACACCTTATTTCGTCATATTAAGATTTATTCCTTGCGAATTTAAAAACACTGATAATAATGATGTACATCCAAGGAATTAAGTATTTGGTTTTTAACAAATTTATTGATATTACATTGACACTTACCTATACACGAACGGGCCGACCTCTTGCAATTTCGGCTTTTCATTATATTGCAAGAAACTTTCAGGATTAGTTACGTTGAATATGTACACTTTGGTCAGTCGAACAACACCAGGCTTTTGCCAGTAGTGGAAAGAAAGAGAACCGTTCCATAACCGCAGTTGCTAAAAACGATTAAAAAATATAATTAATCAATTTACTAGTTTATTAGCATAACTAATAATAAACTATTAAATAAACTATTTAATTTTAATAGTTTACTATCTATGGATTGGACGAAAATAATACAAATGATACGCATGTACTGATACGTAAAATATTTAAGTATCACTAAGTCCAGACAAATGTATTCAAAGTTTATTGCGATATTTTGTATTTCGGAACATTTGCCTTTCAATTGTCTGTGGTTGCCCAAATCGAAATCATTGACAATGAATTTGTTGAATTTTCATTTCAATGAAATTAGCAAAAATAAATGTATGCATTGAGAAGTCAATAATCAAGTTCGTGCGTCGATCGATTGCTTGTAAGATACCGCTCGATTTTGATCGGACCTTCGTGTGATAAAAATAAAATCTATGTATTTCTTCGTTATTGTTTTTCCTGATAATTTTTCACACGTATAAAAGTATAGTGGGTTCTTTAGAATTGCTTTTTCAGCAATCATAAATCAAGTTTAATTAACAAGTTTTTGAGAGGTCCTTCCAAGTTGTTTTTCTTAAATAATAAATTCATTTAGTCTTTTGAAAGTTACCGTGTTTGTGTGTTATTTTAAATATAATAACCTCTCCATATTCCATCAGAGTTAATTTCATTTTTATTTAAAAAATAGTTTTATCGTACGTTCATAGAATTAAATCCTTGCAAAATCATAAATGAAAAACACAATAATTATAATAATAATTTGCCTAAAGTGAACGTAGTAAGTTAAAACGTGATCATTTTAAATTCGATCATGTGACTCCATCGCCACCTTTGTAAAACCAACAAACTAACTTGAATTCGTCGCTAAAATTACATTTCACTTGTTTGTTCTTCTAAACAGAATAACTTCTGTTTATTCAAGGAATAAAAAAGAATAATGGGATTTTCTCCTCGAATTCGTGAAACTATTGTTTTAAACATTCTTGCAGTTTTCGAGCTAATTAGACGGGAAGTTTCCAAACCAACGCCATATAAATATACTCTTCTTTGAGAAAGTGCAAAATTAATGGAGAAAATCGCTTCCGGTTTTTTGTAAATATCGGTAATTGTTAATGAGCGTTTATTTTCACCTTGGAGCTGCGAACAGTTTTTTATTTAAAAATAAAATATAACGAGGTTGTGAGATTGCGACGATAATAAACTGCTGCGCAGGAACTTTCACGTTTAAAAGAAATTATGAATTAGGAGATCGGTGTTAGGATAATTGATATGCTTTATAGATCTTAGAAAGCCACAGTTTTATTTAAATAAAAGAAGATTTAAGTGATAATAAAAAACTAGGTTTCTGTAATATTTGTAATATTAATTACTTTATTTTAATCACGCAATATGTGTAAGATACTGTATGGTAATCACATATTATGTGTAAGACACATTTTTCTGAGACACTGTATGGTAATCACATATTAAAACACAATACAGTAATATCGAAAGATTTACACAATACAAATTCTTTACCTACATTATTTTGCTGATAAATATTGCTTTTAGTATTTGCTCTTACTGAGAAATATTGTACTTACTTTTAAAATAATGTAATCGACCCAAGGTATACTGCTTAAAATAATGCCGATCACAAGAGTTAGAATTCCTATAACTACAGCTGACAGTCTGCCTGTAAAATATAAACAAAAATGCAAGTTTACAATCTTTGCGAAATAAACAATTTCAACGTTAAAGCACATGGTACAAATAACAATCAATCACTGTAAAAATATAGCGGATTCTTGTTACATTACTACTCGTAAGATTTACTTAACATTTAACACTTATCCACCAAGTGTACATGCATGACGACCTGAGAGCCATCTAGAATCTAACATCACGTATTTGTGACACTTGATAGAGTATTTTAGTTTGTTACAAATGTGACATTGTAAAAAATCATGACAATTGATTATGAAAAGCAACAATTTTCTTATAGAATTTTCTTCGCTTGCAGTAAAGATTTCTGAAGATGGTAAATTTTAAACCAAAGTAAAGGAAGCAAATATGTGTTACACATATTGGACATACAGATGTCAACCCACGAGTTGGCGCGTGATCCAAAGTAAAAGAAGTTGTTTTCCCACTGTGAATACTCCCAGCGTTATATTTCGATAAATAAGATTAATATTGATGACTTGCTCAATGACAATGACAACTGCTGAACGCAATTCGTACTATCTCACTCATTCTCAAGACGTTTGACTGTCATCGTTTTTGGCCTAATTGGTGACGACCGCGAGAGCCAATATAAAACCGAAAATATGTGAGAGGCGTCCATTTTTCTATTCTGAGGGATGTACTGATTTGACGATATACTGATTTGGGGATGCAGAGATGTGGGGATATACAGATTTGGGGATGTAGGAATTTGGGGATATAGCGATTTGGGTATGTAAGAATTTGGGAATGGAGGGATTTGGGGATATACCGATTTGGGGATGTAGGAATTTGGGAATATAGCAATTTGAGTATGTAAGATTTTGGGAACGGAGGGATTTGAGGATGTAGATATTTGGGGATATTAAGATTTGGGGATATGGCGATTTGAGTATGTAAGAATTTTGGAATGGAAGGATTTGGGGATGTAGGGGAATGGAAGGATTTGGGAACGTAGCGATTTGAGGACGCAGTGATTTGGGGATTTACCGATTTGGGGATGTAGGAATTTGGGGATATATCGATTTGGGTATGTAAGAATTTGGGAATGAAGGGATTTGGGGATGTAGGTATTTGGAGATATAGCGATTTGAGTATGCAAGAATTTTGGGGCGTAGCAATTTAAGGACGCAGTAATTTGGGGATATATCGATTTGGGTATGTAAGAATTTGGGAATGGAGGGATTTGGGGATATACCGATTTGGGGATGTAGGAATTTGGGAATATAGCAATTTGAGTATGTAAGATTTTGGGAACGGAGGGATTTGAGGATGTAGATATTTGGGGATATTAAGATTTGGGGATATGGCGATTTGAGTATGTAAGAATTTTGGAATGGAAGGATTTGGGGATGTAGAAATTTGGGGATATAGCGATTTGAGTATGCAAGAATTTTGGGACGCAGCAATTTGAGGACGCAGTAATTTGGGGATATATCGATTTGAGTATGTAAGAATTTGGGAGTGGAGGGATTTGTGGATATACTATTTTTCTATTCTGACCAATTGAAGTAGCTCTCTTAAATACCTCAGCTTCTTCCTGCGTCAACTTGTGGGTTGACATAGGTACACATATTGCACATGTGTGCAACATTTTCATTAACGGATATATGACTTTAAATTCGATGATATACTTGTTGTCAGAAAGTAGGAACCTTCAATGGAAGATCTTTCATCTTTCTAAGGAAGATTTACTAACAATAAATTGATTAATACTTATTCTTTGTCTAACTATAAGCAAAGACTTCGTAATGCTGTTTCTGAGGACAAGTTCAATTTTTCATTAATTAATGTTAATAATGTTTAGCTTTGAATCTTAACTTTGACTACGTTAGAATAATATCGAAAGCATGTTCAAATTATATTCGAAAAATTTCAAATATATTATTCTTTATTCATATGGACTTGGATACATATATAATTCTTATTCATGGTTTCATGTTATTCGTTTTCTAACGATCTCATGTACAATTTCTTATCTGAGCTTCTTCATCACAAGTATCGTGTTTCCTAGTGTCAGCAAAGAAAATTAAAAAGGGAAAAGTAGTTTCAGATGTAAAAACGTTTCACTGACATAGCCTTCTCGGAATTACCGTAAGTACATTAACAAAGTAAGTTTTATCTAACAGGTTACATTGAATTTATCGTGTTACAACATTCAAACATGAGATGTACAATTTACATGCTTGAATAATAAAATTATAACGGTGGATTTATACCAAGGTAACTTTTATTGCCACTTAACTAAATACGAATTGTGCTTGTTGGGAATTAAAACAACGCTTTCAAACTTTCGTAAGATACGCTTTCTGTATTATGCCCGAACTTCCGGTTATAATTTTCTTTTTACAAGCTGCACGTGTGAAGAATGCTGGACACATTATCATAGTAGACTACCGTCGGGGAAATAACAATGCGAAAGAAACAGGTTTTATGGCTTGTTAGGTTTTAGAGGATTAGGTTTTTTTGTCTTTAAAGTAGCAAATTTATAACCTTATAAGTTTAGAAATTTGGGTACTTGGGAATTTAGGAAATTGGGGGTCGTTCTTAAATTCGCAGATTTATAGCCTTATAAATTTATTTGGGTGCTTGGGGATTTAGGAATTTGGGGGTTGTTCTTAAATTCGCAGATTTATAACCTCACACATTTAATTGCATGCTTGGGAATTTGGGAATCTGGGGATTTAGGAATTTGAAAGTTAGAAATTTGGGAGTAGGGGTATATTGGGATTTGGAAATTTTGAGATTTAATAATTCTCGAATTTGGTGAATTTAGTATTTGGGAATTTGGGAATTTGGGGATTTGGGGATTTGGGGATTTGGGGATTTGGGGATTTGGGGATTTGGGGATTTGGGGATTTGGGAATTTGAGAATTTAGGGATTTGGGAATTTGGGAATTTGGAAATTTGGAGATTTAGGGATTTGAGGATTTAGGGATTTGGGGATTTGGGGATTTGGGGATTTGGGGATTTGGGGATTTGGGGATTTGGGGATTTGGGGATTTGGGGATTTGGGGATTTGGGGATTTGGGGATTTGAGGATTTGGGAATATGAAGACTTGAGAATTTAGGAATATAGAATTTTGTGATTTTGAGAATTTTGGAATTGGAATATGTTAGGAATTTAGGAATTTGTGATTTTGGAAATTTTGTGATTAGGGATTGTAGAAATTTGGAAATGGGCATTTTGAATTTTGTTATTTTGGGAATGTAGGAATTTGAGAATTTGGAAATTTGGAATTTTGTGATTTTGGGAACTTTAGAATTGAAGAATGTAAGAACTTAGGAATTTGGAATTTTGTGACTTTGGAAATTATGAAATTGAGAAATATAGCAACTTAATAATTTGGGAATTTGGAATTTTGTGATCTTGGAAATTTTTAAATTAAAGAATGTAGAAATTTAGAACTTTAAAAATGTGAAATTTTGTGTTTTTGGGAATGTTAGAATTGAAGAATGTAGAATCTTAAGAATTTGGGAACTTGGTATTTTGTGATTTCAAGAATTTTGAAATTGGGGAATTTACGAATTTAGGAATTAAAAAGTTTCATATCCAAAAATTTAAGGTTTTGAGAACATAAAATTCCAGAACCTGAAAATCTGAAAATTTGTAAATTTCAAAGCTCAAAAATTTGGAAATTGAAGACTAAAAATATAAAGAAACTTAAGAATATGAAAATATAAAGATTTCTTACAAATATTTTCTAATTATTTATTAATTATAATAATACTTTCCTCGACAATTTGCACGAAAATTGAGCGTCATTAATAACAGTGTATCAGCTCATATTATTGTCAGGAAAAGTCGATGCAAATCGTTTGGAAAGTAGGATAGAATAAAGAAAGTACACCATTAGTGTTCATCAATTTAATTCCATCGACCTGGTGTGCTCATTTGTAGCAATATGCTGTTTTTGATGTATTACTATCTGATCAAGATATTTGCACAATATTTTGTTAAGTAATTGAAGAATTATTTTAAGGTAATGCATGCAGAAAACTTCATATAGAAACTTTGAAGAATTCAGAAATTTGAGAATTCGAGAAACTTAGAGATTTGTCAAATATAAGAATTTGGAAATTTGAGAAGCTCCAGTATTTGTCAAATTTAAGAATTTGGATGTTTGGTATTTGAGAGATTTAGAGTTTTGCCAAATTTAAGAATTTGAAAATTTAAGAAACCCTGAAATTCGTGAAGTTCAGAAATTCGGAAATTTAGAAATGTGAGAAACCCTGAAATTCGTCAAGTTCAGAAATTCGGAAATTTAGAAATGTGAGAAATTCTGGAATTTGCCAAATTTAGGAATTTGGAAATTTGGAAATTTGAGAAATTCTGGAATTTGGAAATTTGAAAATTTTAGAAACCCTGAAATTCGCCAAGTTCAGAAATTTGGAAATTTGGAAATTTGAGGAATCCTGAAATTCACCAAGTTCAGAAATTTGAAAATTTGGAAATTTAAGAAACCCTGAAATTCGCCAAGTTCAGAAATTTGGAAATTTGGAAATTTGAGAAACCCTGAAATTCGTCAAGTTCAGAAATTTGGAAATTTGAGAAACTCTGAAATTCGACGAATTTAGGAATTTGAAAATTTTAGTATTTGAAAACTTAGTATTCTGTCAAAAAGAATTTAAAAAATTGAGAAAAAGTTCGGTCCAACTCTTAAAAACATATTTTATTCTAGAATAATTTAAATAACTTAACAGGGAAAAAATGCAACATTGATTCACGGTCTGCATGCTAATTACCAGAATATTTTATTAACGAGTGTATTATGCCCAATAAAATGCAATAAAAATATAGTTGTTAGTATGCATTATAGAATGCTAATGTTATAATAAAAAAAGGAATGGGTGAAGGCCAACTTTTCCATACGAATAGCTTCTTCTCTTCAAAAATATCTTTTGTTAAGAATCTTCGAAATGTATGAATAACTAAATTTCACACTATTTAAATATTATTTATAAATGATA